CATAGAAAAGGCCAAAGCCGTGCCCAAGGAAGTAAGGGAAAACCAACTGGCAGCATTTTCAGAACTAATAGGAGAGACCAAATAATAAGGCTGATAATCTTATAACATGCAGGTATTTTGTTGAATAGCCCTTTCCACTTTGTGAAATGGCCCTGTTTGTTATTTGCATATTGTTTTTTATGCACTTAGCCAACTAATACACACTAACCGACTGTAACAAGAGTTTCAGGAATATAGTAATGGTTCCTGTGCTGATTAGCTTTTGTCAAGTTGACTCAAACTAGAGTTACCCAGGAAGAAGGAACCTCAATTGAAAATTTTCCTGTGGGCATGTCTGTGAGGCATTTTCTTAACTGATCATTGATGCAGGAAGTTCCAGACCACTGTGGGCAGGGCCATCTCTGGGCAGGTGAGTCTGGGCCGTATAAGAAAAATAGCTGAGCAAGTCAGTAAGCAGTGCTCCTCCACGGTCTCTGCCTCAGTTCCTGCCTTGAGTTCCTACCCTGACTTCCCTCAGTGCAGGGACACCTAGAAGCATAAGATGAAATAAAGCCTTTCCTTCCCACTTGCTTTGGCCATGATGTTTATCATAGCAGCAGCAAGCAATCTAAAACAACCCCTCTTGACCCTGTTCACTACACCCCCACCCCCTTGGCATAAGGAACATCTTCTTGTACTGCTCAAAATTAATTAAATGAAAAAAAAAAAACCTTTGTACTAAGTTTTTGGGTGAGTTTTTAAGTCATTCTTTATATTTGAAGCGTCCAGGTATTAAATAACTTGACTAAGGCCCCCAATATTTGAACATAATCCACATTTGACTAGCTAATGTGTAGCCAACAATCATACCAAAAGATACTACTCCCCAGCTTACCTCTGGTTTTTAGTGGGTACAAAGACACATCCTCACAAAAGGATATTGATCCTTTTGTTTTTTCCTTCTGCCTGGGATCCTCTGATTGTGCCTGGTAAATTATCACCATCATCTCAGGCTTCTCTTCACTTTTCTAATTTTACCCCAGCTCAGCTGGATTTTTTGGCAGTATTCTAGTTCTTTCATCTGTAGATAAGTAAGCTTACCCACGGGAACATTTTTGTAAAACACATCTTAACCTCTTTTGACCACTCTGAGTTCAAAAATCTTATCTTTTAAAGAATGAAATTGAGTACGTCGATAGGATTTATGAAAGC